TCGCAGCCTCGCCCAGGTGCGCCCACTCACGCATGCGCGGCGGTGCCCGGCGCCGGCCAGCTGGTGGCCACAGGGGCAGCAGAGAAGCCTGAGCCGTCCACTAACCCCGCCCTGCCCTTTCCGAGTCAGCCTCGGCCTTCAGAAATTGGGCTCGAGAGTTAACACCTGAGCTGTATCGCCATTGCTGCAGCTCGTTAGCACCAGTTTCCTATACAAGCATGGGGGGTGGGCGCACTGTGGGGGTGACCCAAACACCCTGTAAACTCACAGACGCATTTCCCCTGGGGAGACAGATGCATGGGCAAGAGCTGGGGGGGGGGAGAGGGGGGAGAGGGACCCCCTCGTCAGGCCACAGTAGCGATTCCTCATGGCTTGCATAGTGTTTCCATGTTTTCACTGCTTTTTGGCCATGGGAAAGGATGCTAAGATCAAATCAGCCCGGTTTTCCAGCGGGAAAGACACAGCTCAGAAAGGCGCGAATCGACTGTGAAAATGCTCGCCAGATATTCAGCATAAACCTGTATATGGGAAGAAAGTTCTGGAAACTTGGGTACCCCTTAGACATAGAAAAAGGTTGTCCTCCTCCTCTGCCCCAAATGGTGACACTGACCCCGACCCCCCTTGTTATTTTAATGGAATCCCCCAAACTCAGTGGTGTAACATCTGCTCTTCAGACTGCAACTAAGGCGGCTTGTGACTTTCAAATGGCCAGGTCCAGGGCCTCGGTGAGACCTTTACAAAGTTAGCCTGGCAGTGGAATTGCTACAGGGCAGGGAGAGGAGCCCCCCCACCCCCAAACCCACCTGCTTTAAATAGGGTCTGTCATCTGCGCATCAAGACAAAACCTGTCAGACCTTTCATGGAAAGGAACTTTAATACAATGAGTGTGCAATACAGAAAACACAAAGAATATAGTTTCCAAATCAAGCATCCAGAGTGACCTGTCCCTTTGTGGGTAAATGTCCACTCTAGCAGGGTCGGCCCAAGCAAGGCCGAAAGCCCACCGTAAGTCTAAAGTGCCTACTGTCGGGGATTTGTAAAAAAGGGTCAGGGGCCCTCCCTGGTGGCACAGCAGGTTAAAGCACTGCACTAAGAAGCTGAAGCCACTGCAGCATGAGTTCGATCCCCGCCTGCCCCGGAGGTGACCACAGGGCACGGCAGACCTCTCCTGACCCGCCCACTGCTCCCCTCAGCAGTGGCCTTCATGTATTTCCCTGTCTGCTCCCCAGTCTGTCTCTAGTGAGTCCTCTCACTGCCCCTGCACCTCTGGCCTGTACCCCAGTTCTGTGTGCATAAAAAAAAAATAAATCTTTTAAAATAAAAAGGGTCAGAAACGGCCAGGCAAGTGTGGGAGGAAAAGAGCCAGATCAAAATCCAGGTTGAAGCGGCTGCTGTCACCCTCCCCACGGGTCTCTCACCCGCCTCTCAACGGTGCAGGACCAAGAAACAGAGCCGCTTCTCCATGTCTCTCTGCCCCCGCGTGCCTCCCTCAGGTCACCTCCTGGCTCTCCACCTGCCTCCTTCCTCTTCAGTCTCAGGTCCGGATTCTTCTCCTCCCTGCTCAGCTCCACCCTCCTCTGGGTGGGACAGAGAATGTGGAACCTCCCCTTTCCCTGGGGGCCCCCCCAATTCAGTTGGCTTTTAGAGCTGGTTTGAGCCTTGCTTGTGTAGCTGGCTCACTTTGGCCAAAACCTGGCCTGCAAACAAGCAGGTTCTCTGGGGGCAGGTCCAGAAATGGCGCTCGAAGCAGGTGTGTCTGAGCCATGGTGCAGTCCAGGGAGACTCTGTAAAGAAAAGGCCCAGTTGTCTGGGTTTGTCCAGAGCGGTGGCCTGAGTCCTGCGTCTGGCCCAGTGGATGCACCCTCACTCAGCCTTGGCTCTGTGTCCTCCTGGATCCCCGAAAATGCTCCTGGAGGAAGATGAGGGCAGCAGGGGGCTCCCTGCTGACCCCAGGGGAAGTCCGAACTGCAAGGTTCAAGTCTCTGGGATCCCAAAGCCAATTCCTAGTCCCGCCTTAAAGGACAGACAAGATGAGAAGGTGCTCGCTTTTCCTGACAAGTGCCAACCCTCCCGGGGTCTTGCTGAGGCTGGGGGTCCCTCTCTCCACAGAGCTGGAGAAGGAGCTATCACGGAGGCCCAAGAAGGTCTGCATCGTGAAGATGGTGGGTACCCGGAACCTGTGGAAGAACATCGTGGTCCTGTGTGTGAACTCGTGAGTCCCGGGAACTCGGCCGGGGTGGGGTCAGCATAGGCCACAGGGCTGCGGGAGAGGGAGGGGGGGGTTGTCTGGGCCCAGGGCACCCTGGGAAGGAGCCTCTCCAGCTCCCAGGCGCCCTCAGCAACGCTAGTTATAAAGCCACGCCCGACCTGCCACTGGGTGCCCCAGGGGAGAGTGCGTGGCCACACCCGTGGCCTGCTGGGCTGGGTCGGCCGACCGCACTTGACCCGATGGTTCTCCAGGTCTGCAAAAGCACTACCCGTTCCCAGAACCTGCGGGGGCGGTTGGGAGAAGGGGGGTTTCAGGGCTAGAGGGGAACCTCTGGCTCTGGGACGGGCGTGAGCAGCAGCCTGAGGCATGGGGGTCACGGCAGGTGGAGTCCCTCAAAGGACAAGTCCAAAGGGCCCTTCGAGGCCCCGGAGGCGTCTCGGCCTCCTGGGCACATGGACACACGCTGCTGTTGCCTGCAGTTACAAGGACACAGGCTTCCCGCGGGCTTATGTGAGCCCCTGGGGCCGTGAGGGGTTGTTGGGGCTAAGGGGGAAGCAGGTAAAGGAAGATGGGAACCAGGTCTCCAGAGACCACGTCTTTACTGGGCCTGGTTTCCTCTGGCTCTCTCGGGGTGGGGGTTCCAGGTAGGGAACCCCGGAAGCCAGACCCCGGGCGGAGTGTGTGACCTGGTGTCCCCCGGCCACCTGCAGCCCCGAGCAGGATCAGCCCGTGAGGGGTGAGCTGACCCACGGGAGGGGGGGTCACAGCAGGGGGTTTGGGCGCTTTGAAGGGACCCCACCTGCCAAAGACGCGTTCGCTTTGCCTTGTGCAATACCCGGGCACTACATGAGGGCCTCCCAGGAGGTGGCTGCCCCCCACACACCCCCGGCGTGTCTCCCCAGGCTGACGGGCTATGGCATCCACCACTGCTTCGCCCGGAGCATGATGGGCCACGAGGTGAAGGTGCCGCTGCTGGAGAACTTCTACGCCGATTACTACACCGTGGCCAGCATCGCCCTGGCGTCCTGCCTGGCCATGTGCGTGGTGGTCCGCTTCCTGGGCCGCAGGGGGGGCCTGCTGCTCTTCATGATCCTCACGGCTCTGGCCTCCCTCCTGCAACTGGGGCTCCTCAACTGTGAGTGGGGGC